GAAAGCTGCACTACAGTGGCAAACATTGATTTGTACAAAAAAAGATTATAAACTATACAAAGAGCAGAGGGTTCAGACCGTTTTTCATTCCTAAAAACCTGGACTTGCCTGTTACCAAGGTTAGTGGTGGAATAATTTAGATGACTTTGTTATAGTCTTCAGCATTTACACCACACAAACAACCATTTAGCTTCTTCATAAAATGGCAATATTGAAATATAACAGCACTGTAACACTTCTGCCATTAGCCACATGTATTGAGAATAGCTGCTACTGTGGTTTATTTGAGGGTTACACAACAGAGGTATTTTATTTAAAGGTAAAAACCATATGCATGTGACTAGTACTGCATTATTAAACTTGTTTTAATGGCATATATTATCAATCTTGTTCGTATTTACTGAAACATTATGACTGCCATGCATTTAATGCATATTTGAAAATATACATTTACCCCCAAATGCCCAGGATTTAAGTTTCACTGCCCCACCTTTAACATGCACTGAAATCAAACGGACACTTCTACATGCTCTTCATCATCTTGTAAAGGGGATAGATTGATTGCACTCACCATGATTGGCCACTTCATTTTGATTCTTATCTATCACAACATTTCTAGTGAACTGTCAGAATCAGACTCAGCACTGACTACGTATGACTACATTTGATTAGCATTTAAAATGTATAATCAGCACTATCTTTGAGAAAATCTTTTGGTGAATGTGTATCTTTGTTTCTCTTGTTGGTGAAACTTGAGGAATGTGAACCTATACAAAGGTGTCCTCTACACAGAAATACTTTTAGTGAGTAGGGATAGATAGAACAGCGCCCTTCTGGTTTCTGCTTCCCACTGTACCTACAAATCACCTGGTTTCTGTTAGAGGGGAATAATGTCACTCCAGCACAAAAACACCACATGAGTGTTAGATGATCCAATTCTTACTGGAAAGGTGGGCTGCCAGCATAAAACAAAGAGAGGAAATTATCAATTTCCTCAAATATCAGCTCTCAAGGTTACAAGAATTCTAGCAACACTGACAATATTGCTGCTATGACTGGTTATTATATATATTTGGATAGGTAGGGTTAGCAACCTCTTTGCAAAACATTTTAAAACTTCAGGTACAGTACTAACATTCTTTCACTAGACTGTAATTATATTCTCTTCAAAAGACTTTACCTCAATCTCTTTTCTAAGCTTAGCATGCATTTTTTTCTGTTCTTCAAGGTGTTTTTTCTTTTCATTGATAGACTCTTTCACTACAGTAATTTTCTCTTTTAAGTGTGTAATTTCTTCCTGCAGATAAAAGTGGTTATAAAAAACTGTTTGTAAAACAAAATTACAGTGCAATTGTTTACCTTGTTATAGGTGTCATCTTTTAACAATCTCTGTATAAAGAGTGACTCTAGCTAAAGAAATAAATTCAGCACTTTAAAGGGTTGACTTCAATTCAGTTCCTGACTACCTGAACATATTTGGGTACTTAAAAACAGCAGACAGAAAAACATTACTCAGGAATATGGAAATAGCTGCAGCACTGAAGCACCTTGAATTTTCCTAACACACTACTACACATGCAGCTGTTTTTATATTTTAAGTATTTGAAAAATGTGTGCATGAGTAGATACAACCTGTAGTCATTATCTTGCCCTTCATAATCTCACCGAACTTGCTTTTTGTCAATAGTGACCTGGGAACATATTTCCTTATGGGTTAATTACCTCAAAAAGCTACGGAAGTTGGAGTGCATCTTCAACACAGTAGCTGTTCCATCATACTGCCTGTGTAATTGTCCCCTGATAACTCACTAAACCACCTCCAGTTGGCCAGGAAAGCATATCAGGCTAATTGTCTACTGTAGCAACATGCATTTTCAACACATACAGTGATGGCATGACTTACAGTTCACCTTGTGGCTCCATGGCCATTCACACTAAGTGTATGCTCAGTCAATCATAATGACCTACATTCACCACACCCAAATCCACAAGGCCTGATGGCCAAGTGAGAAGAATCACGCTAGCACTGTTGTATAGCTGTAAACCAGACATACTAAACATAGTCATCTCAACATGTGTGAGAAAAGAGAATTATTTTGCTTAAATAGTAAACAAAGGGAAGAAATCTATGTTTTTCATACAAACAATTATGTGACAACACAATAAATAAACTTGTTCACTCCTGACTTCCACTGCAAAATTAGTCTCGCAAATAAGTAAAAGTGCTGGATTATAAAAAGCCTGTAACTTCTGTGGACAGTGAAAAACTGGGTGCATCTACATGTGCAGTGGCGATGCATAGGGGGTGCACGTGCACCCCCTGAGAGTGCTGGTGCACCTGCTGATAGGCCACGCTCCCTGCTTAGGCGATGGGCCGGTGGGAGCGCTGGGGACTGAGAGCACCGCGGCCACTTCCAGGAGTGCTGCAGCAACTTCTGGGAGCGCTGCAGCCACTTTGGCCATGGGGGGGACCCCCAGATTGGCTGTGGGGGGACCCCCTCCGTTGCTGACTAAGGTGGCACCAGTCACCCATGTACACATGCACTTTAATTCACAGTAGCCTATTCTACTGAACATTAAGACTTCACAGCAAAAACAATGTTAATATGCTAACGCGCAGGAGAATTAATGTACCGTGCACTGTGTCACTAAAAAGGTGTTTGCTTTTGCTACTGTGCATTAGGGCAGCCTAATGTGTCTTTATGTAGTATCTCATATTAGAGGTACTAAACCTAATGCGCAGTAGGAAAAGCACATTAATGAACTTTTAGACATGCCCACCATGATCTAAAAGTACTGCATTTGTTACTTGGTGAATGCTAGGTCATAGACTATGGGCATCTATACACATGCTCTGCAGGAGATGGGGGGCACTTTAATTAGAGTGGCTCTCTGAGAGCTGCTCTAATTAAAGTGCCCACAGCATCACATGTAATCAGTATCCTGTGCTTCAAAATGGCGGTGAGGGCACTTTCACTAAAGCTCGTTTGCCATTTTAAAATGCTGGGACACAGAATACATGTGACGCAGAGGCTGCTGGAGTGCACTAATTAGCATGCTTCAGCAGACTCAATTAATCAAGTCTGCTCTGATGCGTGCTAATTAGCATACATCAGAACAGAGGTCTGCCATGTGGATAGGTGCCCATTGTGATTACAAACACAATCTTATACAAGAAAGCAAAGTTATTCAGTGCAGAAGTCAGTGTTGCAGATTTTCAATATTCTGACAACTGGCTTCAAAGTCTCAAGGCTAGAGGTAGGATTGCATATCAGATGACTGGTGATAGAAGTGCAGCTATTAATCCAAACATGATCAACAATGGGTTAGAGCAGTAGATCTAGATCTGCTCACTGCACATTTACAATTTAAACAATATGGCTTGTCTTTGCAGTTACATATCACTGACAAAGTTGGATAAAACAAATAGAAGTCAAAAAGCAGAGGGAGCAGTTATTTACCAGGCTACGTATAAACACAGACAGGAAAGATAAACTTAACATTGTTATCATCAGAATCTACATTGCTTCAAACAGTTCAATTCAGTTTTATCGTGATTGCATATCAAGCAAAGAGAAAATAGTGGATGGTGAATGGGATTCTGCAATAATTCCTATGATCTTGGAATCAAAGATAGGAAATGGAAAATGTACCCAGACACATCATCCTGAAAACCCATCAAACATCCAAATAGAGCTTCTGTTGGTAACAAGCAACAACCAATTGTAATGATCAGAGCCTAAAAAAGTTCTTTTCTCAATATCTCGTGAGATTTCATGTTGAGCGACTGATTTCAGCCAGCACCAATCCACTGACCAAAGTATGAGGACGAAGCAACTCCAACGGATATGAACAATTATTAGTGCCACCTTGGAATTCAGTTATGCAAGCAGCTGTTGAGGATATAGAAGCTTTGGGTAGTGGCATGGCCCTGGTGGTGACAACACTGTCACTGTGAACTAACTTTGGAAACAGATTTGAGTGGCTGATGATTCTGGCAAACTATTGATGATCTGTTGAGTATCTAGTAGTAGACTGGCAGCTAATGACAAGTAAACTAATTAGACATGAGATATACTCTCCTCTTACATGGAAAACTAATCATAATGGATTTATGTGTATGTTTTTCAGCTATATATACACAGAGCTCCATGTTCTAAATAAAACCTCATTCTCATCTATTGTAATTGTCTATGATATTATTCATACAAGAATGTCTCCTCCATAACTAAATGGCTTTAAGAAAAAGCCTATCTAGTGATACAGTTCATCCTCTGATAAGAAAAAGGAAATTTAAACAAGATAAAACATGCATTCCACACAGCTTTTACAATAGAACAGCCATACCAGATTTATGCTATTTGTATAACCACATACAATAGAAAGTAAGCAGAACACTGAACAGAGTTTATAGGCAGTAAAAAGACAGCATATGTTCCTTTGTATAGCATCAGATGCAAATATAGATGGATGCATTTTACATAAACCATACATTCTAAAATTTAGTGCAACTGATCTCTTGGCCACCCAAGTAATAAATACTTCTGGCATTACAGATACAGAAAAACATACAGGTTACAAAAAAAGTTTCCCAGATGAAAACAAACAGTATCATTTATATTTAGAAGAGACATTAAGAGTTTGAATTTCACAAATAGCTGCATAAATGTCATAAGCAACTATAACTCCCCCTACAATATCAACAGGAAACAACCTTTCCATGTTCTATGAGTTAAGTCTCTGATAGAGACATAATAGGATAGCTCCATGCCATGGCCAGCTTCAGAGAGAGCTCAGTCTCACCACCAACACAGCTGGGCTGCTGACCTGGGAGTTCCCTTGCAGGGTGCATCTACATGTGCTTTTTAAGGTGATGCAATAAACTCTAGCTTAATGCGCTGGAGTTGATTGCACCCAGCTACCACATCTACATATGCGTCTGGGACCACAGCACATTGAACTGGGTTGGGGCAGCCCCAACTGGCAGAGGGCCTGGAGGGTCAGCCTGCCAGCCCGGGGCTGCTCCTCCCGGCAGTGTGCTGCACAAGGGCTAGCTGACCCTTGTGAACCTCATGCCTCAGCCATCTGTTTCAACTTCTACACATGCACTGCTGCAGAGTAAAAAACTGTGCAGTAGGGTAGTACTTGTATTTACAAGTACTATTACCCTGCTGCAGAGTTAATTAGTTCACCCCAGCCTAATAGGGCCTGCGTGTATAGAAGCAAGATGTTTACTGTGGAGCTAATTAATCTACTCTACAGTAAATGTCTCGTGTAGTCTCTAAAGATGCCACCCTGCCCTCTCTTCTGCCTGACTTCAGACTAACACAAGTGACTAATTCTCACAGATTTCCTTAAAGCTGTCATTGTCCATTAACATTGCTGCAAGACATGGTTTATGTTAAATTAGACCTTTCAGTCTAAAAGCAACAGATTTGATTCTAATCTTACTTATACTTAACATTGCTGTTTGGGTGGTATGATTCCATTCTTTTCACTAGAGTTATTCCTGCTTGACTCCAGTGCAGGTTATGTGGACCCTGTGATTTTAAGATTATTTCTCATATGCAGTTACTAAATTTTCCCCTGGAAGTTTCCCCTCAAAAGCATTTAGGTTAAAGACATATACAAACATATACGGACAGAAGTGCTATAAATGCAGAGAACAAAGATAAAACGGGTATTTTTTTACTTCTCCTTTCTTTCTGTTCTTTCTTTTCTCATTAACACAAACTTCTCTTGGTAAAGAGCTCAACTACAACTCATTACCAACCAGGAGTGTTAAACCAGTAGTGTGCTGTTAGCTGAAATATCATTTACAAGGATCTACACTGGGGTTTGGCAAAGTGCTTATATAGGTTTATGTAAGACCCAGGAGGATCTCACAAATAGCACTAAAGGCAACTGGTAGGTTTTAGCTAGTAGCATGGTTTTGTTACAACCATGTTAATATTATTACACTAAGCAATAATGTAGGTACTAGCAACTGAACTAGACTATCAAGAATAATGTATGGCGCAATTTTTGCTATGGATGAACATCATTATTGCTTCAATTAATCTCATTTGGATGAAGAAGTATACCACAGAGATAAACATTGTGAGGAAGTTGACCAGTTTATTATTTAATAATGTAAAAAAAAGTACACAATTGGAAATTAATCCAAAAAGCCATATCATACCTGCACTTGTTTTATAAGATGTCCTTCAGGATTCTGGAGATCATGCATTAATTGCTCCTTCTTTGTCTTCAGCTCTTTAACTATGGACTGTTTTTTAGCAAGCTCAGTCATAACTGGCATTTTGCTTTCAATCTCCCAAAATAGTGCTTTATGGACCAATATTTTCTCACGATATGCACTGTTATTTGCAAGCATCACCTCAAATTCTTCTTCAGCTGTTTCTGTGTCAAGTTTAAGCTTTACATTTTCAGCATACAGGGATCTGACTTGGGCCTCCAGACTTTTACAGTTACATTCTGTCATTTCTATAGCATCATCTTTCTGATAAATTTGCCTTTCTGTTGCTTTTGTGTCTAATAAAATAGAGTCCCTTTGTCTTTCAAGGTCCTGAAGCTCAAACTGTAAAATATTGCAATAATCAACTGTCAATTGAAAGCGATGTTTGAGACAATCATAGGGAGCTATTTAAACAATATGGCCTACATTTATTTGGGTGGGGCTTGTATTTGTGGAACACAAAATAAACCATCTATAAGCCTTAAAAATAATCTTTTGAATGGAAGAGCATTATTGTTCCATTTTCTAAAATTATCACCTAAGAGACATAACACATGAGCAGTGTCCTAGGCTTCATTCATTTGACCTCAAAGGAGAGGCATAAAATGTACTGTCTTTTAAATCAGTTCAGTTTCCTCATATTCACCTGGTATGTAGTGAGATGCGTCAGGCTGATCCTTGTCAAGTTCCTTAATGATTTGCCTAACGAGGAAAACTGGTTTATTTTGTGTCAGACTAAACCTAACTACTTTCCTGCGTCTGACCTGGGAAAACAACCATAGTTCCCGTAGAGCTGCTAAAATTGAACTAAAGGTGTGTCAGCCTACCCTATAACAAGAATGTAGTTGAGTTAAGACTGGGGTAGCTAATTCCATTCTGTTCTGTCAGGGTCATATAGGGAATATCCACACCACAGCAGCAGAGTATTCAGTCTTGTCCCAGGCATGTTCCCTGCAAATCAGACCCAAAAATGAAACAGCAAGATACACAGAAACACCCCAGCCTCCACTCTTGGGCATGCCAGAAACCCAAATCTTGAATGCAGTGCCAGGGGTGCTCCCAAGACATCTCATTTCCAGGGTTGCTGTGTGTGGCACAGGAACCAATTGGTGGGACTAGCTTTGGTAATAATAAGCAGGGATCCTGGTTTTCTCTGATTTAAAAAAAAAATTCCCAATTTTCGGTTTAAAAAGTGTGACCCCAAATCCACATCTTTCCATACTTTAAATGAAACACCACTTTATATATACATACATACATAGCGAGAGAGAGTGGTCTTTCTTTTTAATCATGAAAAAAATGTAGGTTTGGGGATACTTTTTTTTTTTTTTTTTTTAACTGAAAATTGGGGATTTTTTTAAATGGGAAAAAACCAGGAACCCACGTAATAAGACTGATCTCTCTGCTGTCATGATCTCAACCAGGTCCATCTAACTGTTGGGTGCCTGGGGGCCATATGCCCCTGAGGCCCCACAGCACGTGGACTGCATGGCCTCCAGGCTACATGCCAGATAGCATGCCCCCTCTGCTACACCATGTGAGGCTTCTCCACCAAGGCCAGGGTGGAGAGAAGGAGGCAAGGGCAGCCGGCTGGAAAGTGATGGGGAGAGCAGTGCCCAGGCCAGTAGCTAGATGGTTGCGACTTAACCCCTCACAGGACACACGCATCCTGCAGGCTACCAGTTAGAGAGCCCTGAGACTTATCCTGTCCTCATGACTGTGACAGCTGAGTGTCTCACACCATATAATTCCTTAAGCAATGTGGCTACATCAGTTGCACATGGTTTGTTCCAGTTCTCAACCTTTCAACTAGGGAAGAATTGTGCATCCAGTGAAAGTTTTGCTGTTGTCTTAAATGCTTAGATTGTAAGAGAGGCTTCTTAGTATCAGTGGTGTCAGCTAGCCCTTATCCACTAGCCACCCTGGGCCGGCAAGCAAAAAAATCTGAATGGCAATGATCTGAATTTGAAGAAGTTATTGTTTTGCATATACGTAAGGGGACAAGGTTAAAAAGGCAAAAGCTATCTTGCTTTTTGTGTTTTATGAGTTTTGAGTACCAAATGATTTAACCATAACATTCTTCTAACTCTGATTTTTGTATGGATTTTCCAAAGATTTTTATAAAGAAAGAAAGGGAAGGTAGTGTAAGAAAGAAAATAAATTAGCCTAACTGTCCAGGATTTTGAAGCTCTAGAGCAGGGGTGGGCAATTCTTTTGACTGGAGGGACACTTAAAGAGATTTGATGAGCTGTTGCGGGTGGTGGGGGCATTTATCCTATCTAGCCCTGGGCCTGTCCACCCCAAACCCACCCCCAGGGGCCCCAGACAGAGCAGGCAGGGTCTCCATGGCAGGACTGCTGCGGCAGGACTCACTGGGCTGGGTGAATGGAATGGAATGGAATGGGATGGGGCCATGGGAAGCTGGGGAGCAGTGGCCCAGAGTGGGATTGGTAGGTGGGGCTGGGGCTGAGGCTGGGATTGCAGGGCAGTGACAGCAGGGGGCTGGGGCCTGGGGTTGGGGCAGAACTGTGATCTGCTCCTCACATGCCCCTGTGATGGGCACTGGTTCCACAAGCAGGGACATGAGGACAGTGGACTGTGACTCTGCCCAGGGCCCTGGCCCTGTACTGTCACCACCCTGCAATCCTGGCCCTGGCCCCAGCCATCCCATTCTGGATGCGTCTCCCCAGCTGCGCTGGCTAGAATCCCTTGGTGGCTTGGATCCAACCTGTAGGCCATATTTTGCCCACCCCTGCTCTAGAAGTGTTCAAAAACTGCAAATCTGTGCAAATTGTATGCTCTATTTGGAGCATCTATGTCAGACTGTACTGTTGTGTTACCTGGCAAGAAAGAGAGGTTCTAAAGGAGGAAGGAAGGTCAAAGTAGGATGCCTCTTGGGCATCTTAAAGGCTCCAGAAGGAAGGAAGATGCTGCTGTACTATTACAGTGCACTTCAGATTTTTAAGGTACCCAGGAACCCTCAGAATGATGAGGGAGTCCTTTGCCCAGTCCCAGTTCTCCTTATTGATTTAGGCAGTTGACTATGAAACCAGCATACTTGTGCATAAATGAATAAAAAGCATCCTTCCTCAGGTACATATCACATGAACTCAGCAAAAAAATCTACAGCACATACTTGATACATAACTTTCTGATGCATGAAACTCAGATAAATCAAATCAGGAAGAAGAGTCTGCACTGCTCCTCCTTCAGAGAAATTAACTTCATGCAGAATTTCAAACCTCGGCTGTTACAAATATAGGACAATTAAAATTTTCATAGGAATTATTCCTATAATATTTTTTCTTTGCAATTCTGACCATGTTAAAAATGGCTGATTTTTTTTTAATGTGAAACTTAAAAAAAATCAGTTTTAGGTAGAAGTCAAGGCTGAATATATCAGTCCAAAAGGTGAAAGTTTCAGAAGTGTCCATAAGCAGTTAGAACGGAAACAATTATACAAATTTAGCTATAGCTAGATGCATCTGGAGCTCTGCTGTGAAATATTAGCAAATAAAAGCTGCATTTAGTGGCAGTTAAGGTAGAAGCAAGAAACATGTTATGTACCCAAAAGTCATAAGTACAGGATGATTTTAAAAAAAACCTTGCAAAAAGAGTACAAAGAGAACTGAAACAATTTAGTGGAAAACTGCCAAAAAGAGTGATTTTAAAGTCTCATTCTTTCTTTATCCATACATTTTTACAAAGCATTTTAAAAATTCAGGATGTCTATATTTCTATTTTATGTTTTTGTTTTTGCCATTTCAACAGGATTTTCACAAAACAAGGAATTAAACCATCCGCTAAAAATGAACTCTAACCACAGTCTTAGCTCTTGAACAGCCATATGTATAATGATATAAACATGAAAAGTCCTGGCAATGCTTAAGTCTTAGAGAGCAATTGAAAATAGCAAAGCCTAGAAATGTCATCTCTCTTTACTCACAACACTGCTTTCTTGCTTAGTATTAAACACGAATAAGATCTATATAAGATCTAATTACCTGCAACTGGGCAAGGACTGTTTTGCTCTTTTCTATCTCTGATGCTTGTATATGTTGCTGCTCTGCTACTTCTTTTACCACTTCAGCCAATGATGGCAAATTTTGCTTAGCCATTTCTAGAGAAAAAGACAGCAGCATAAAAACATAAAATAAAAATGCTGTACGTATACTGTTTTCACATAGTTGAGTTCAATGCTATGTTAAATGACTCTTTAAAAGAACAATACTTTCTGACTTATTCTTCCCATGTGAGCTCAGATTAATCAGTTATTACTCCTGGGCCATATTTGTTCACCAAAGAAAATTTAGGAATGGCTAGAAACTCAAAGGAAATTATAATGATGACTGCAAAAATCTCCTCTTCGGAGTCTCTTTTATAAATTATAAATCATTCCTTTTGTTTCATACTATAAATATTCCCACTACTATTCTATGGAGCAGATCCCATTGCTATAAACAAGGCATAGTTCCATGTGGCAGAAGCATGTGTTGAGGCCTTTTCTCTTGGTTTTTGGCTGGATAACTTATAATTCTACTGTAACACTGCACCTACAATAGCGACATGTATCTGAGTTGAGGCAAGTTAATCATTAAACTCTGTTACCTCGTTGATGTACTTGACGTCTCTTAAATGAACAGCATAGAACAGGAAAAACTGGAAAGAATAAGACATAGGATTGAAACAATGGTAGCACACACAATGTGTTTGATAAATTGACTGACAGCAATCAAAAAAATGTTATCTAAAATTTATCACTGCTACATTTATATAATTTCAAATAAAAGTTTATTAAGTCTAGGAAATCAGCACAGTCAAGTAATACTGGTTAAATATTCAGGAAATGTGTGGAAAACAGTGCCATAGCAAGGAAGGGGGTGAGCGGGGGCAACCACCCCGGGCGCTGAAGCAAAGGGGTGCCAACAGATGCTGCCCAGCCAGGGCGGGGTGCAGGACGGAGCCGCGAGCGGTTCGTTTTGGGGAATGCAGGGATGGGGGGAGGCTTCCACCACTGCTTGAGGATCTGTATGTGGGGCGAGAGGGGGCTGCTGCTGTAGGCTTTGCCTCAGGCACCAAAATTTCTTGCCATGGTACTGCACATGAAGTATATCTCCAAGATCAAAATGTGGTAGCCAACATACAGTTGAGCTATGAGCTGGATTTATGTCGAACAGAGAATGTGATCATTTGCTTTTTTTCTCTACAGGTTTGGCTAGACGGAGACACATTGTAGAAGAACATATTTCAATTAGAAAAGCCACAGTGGCATACTTTGATTTGCAGCATTCATGTCCACAGTAAGAAAATAAAGAGATTTTTCATATACTCTCCAGTGCAGGTGATAAATAGTTATCAAATACACTGATAGTGTTGGAGTGATGTAGCCATGATGTCGCAGAGAAGCTGCAAGAGGCAAGGATTTTTGTGGGTGATATCTTTTTTATATTCAGCTCAATAAAAGTTATCACACACAAAAATCTTTGCCTGAGCCAAATACATTTCAATTGTATTTTAAATCAGGAAAATATTAACTGTAGCATTAAAATATTAACTGTAGTATTTAAATATTAATTTACGATTAAGAGTAAAGTAAGGAAAATAATTATGTTTCTTTTTTAGATGAACACGAACAGTGTGACTCTAAGAAGTCCTGAATTCTTGGACGGACGTTTGACCTCCAATTCTGATCAATACCACTAACATCTGCCATGTCTGGAAATGTGGTATTTGTGGCAACCCAAGCAACAGCATGTCTAGAAAGTCCTGATATGGGAGTTCAGTATTAAGGCCACTCATGATGTTCCCAATATTTGGTGTGCTCCTCAAACCCAAGCTTCTGGAGTCTGGTTATAATATATAAATTTAAAAAAAAGAGGAAGATTTCACAGCTGAAAAATATGACACCTAAGGGCTCAGAAATCAGAAGTCAAATACCCAACTATTTTCTAATTGGAAAAAGTCTCGTGATTTCAAACTCAAACTCCTGGTTCCTTGGGACTGGATTCAGGAGGCATTTTGGCCTGTAGGGCTCATACCACGGACCTAAAACACCTCCAAACCCTACAGCACTCGGCAAGAGCCAGTGGTCAGACAGGCGTGTAAGAAGAGAAAAGGCGTCGGGTTTCGTAGCAATAGAGGCCAGAGGACAACCAGCCATGATGGCCAGGCCACCCCAGGTGGAGGAGAGCAGGTACCAGGCCTAGTTTGGTGGCACCCAAAGGCAAACACAAACCAGCCTAGAAGCCCAGGGGAGAGATCGGGCACCTCGCACGCAGTGCAGCTGCCAAGCCCCGTGCACCAGGGGCCGCACCACCGCCCCCCCCGGGTCCCCTCACGCAGCACCAGTCTGCAAAGAGGAAGAGGCTGGGGAGAACGAAGTCTCCCCCGGCGGCGGGGCGCCGCGCCTGCTTCAGGGACCGTAGCCAAAGTGCCACCCAAAGACAAAAGCGTGCAGCAGAGGAAGGGCGCACGCGCCGTTTGCAAAGAAAGCCGGAGCTGCGGGCTCGTCTCGCCCCGTCCGGGCCCCGCTCACGGGGCTTCGTTTTATTTTCAGTTTCAGCTGCCCCCGCGGGCAGGCCCAGTTCACATTTGCAGGCTTCTGCACGGCCGGAGCTCAAGACCAAGCCACCCCCCTGGCCTGGGAATAACAGCTCCGAGGAGCGGAGTAGGGGAAATGCAACTTTCTCAGGGCGCTGCAGGAAAGCTCAGCCTCCTCCTTCCCCTCCTCCCCCCTCTCTCTGCGCAGGGCTGAAGCACTTCCTGGTGTTTCCAGAGCCGCCTTTTAAGGGGGTCGCAGCTCCGCTGGGGGTGGCGGGTCCCTTCCAGCTCTGGAGATGAGCCGCCTGCACCGCCGCCTGGGTAACCCGGCTGCACTGCCTTCGTCTCGGGCTCCGGGGCAGAGAGGGCTCCTGCCCCTCTGTTTTAGGACCCCCCTCCCCGGCATGTCTTGCCTTATCGCAAGCATGTCTGAAGCTACGTGTACCTGAGCGAGCCTCAGAGCAGCACACGCATAATAGCTGGGTGCTGATTTAAGCGAGCCCATGGGTGCTCCCAGGTTCATCGTGACCCAAGGCTTTAATCTTGTGCAAACGCCTCTCAGGATTGCCTGTGGACAGGGAGAGCTGCCGCCCAGGGGCCTCGGGAGGAGGCAGGCTCTCCCCGTCCACAACTCACCTGGGAGGGGAATTTCCACCTTGCAGACATCATCTGCTTGAATTGGCAATTAGGATGAGGCTATATAATGAGGCAACTAATAGTTATTTCTTTTATAGGATCCCCTTCTGGAGCCCTGGCCACTTCTGTAAGTAGATGTCTGCAGTTCTTAACTCCCCGTTAATGTTTATTTCTGCAATTTCAGATCTGCTTCCTATTTTAAGTGGTAAATACTAACTTTTCTGTTTCATAACTTAAGACTGACAATGAATTTTTTTGGGTTTGCCCTAGTTGGCATGTAGTGCTTTATTCATAAGAGTTTCCTCTTCCGTGTTCGTTTAGAATTCTAAATGCTTTGTATCTTTTTTCTGCTATTTGTGTATGTCCTTCCTTATTTATCTAGCATAACATGTTAAATAATCCTTGTCCTTTTTATTTCTTAAAAAACCCCATCCTTTAAAAAACAAAACAAAAACTGTGAGTACTGCCTTCATTTTAAAAAGAAAATGAGGCTGAGTGATAAGATCCAAAGAAAATCAATGTGGGGAAAAGGGAATAACTCATTCTTTTAATAATTTAGTTTTAAAACACTTTCAGATTTTAGGGAACCTTTCTTCTGAAAAATGTTTCTGTTCCAGTTTGTTTTTTGTTTTTTTTATGTAGTTTTCTTCTTTAAAACTTTCTTCCACTTTACTTTTTTGCCTTCTGTCCCAAAGCTAGTAGAGGTATGTGTGCACATATGTATGTGAATAAAAAATATTTAAATGGGTTTTAAAATTGTATACTTAAATTATTATGGATTTCTTCTTAAAAACAAGCACAGCTACATTAAATCTGATTCACATATTCTGTATGGAAAGACCTAAGACTTTTAATCTCTTAAAACATTTAAATAAAAAGCATACAGGATCCATGAACCTCTAATCAGAAGCTTTGCTTTACAGTCTGCACATTTTTTCTGTCTTACTTAAAGTAGGGACAGAAGTTGCACACAAAGTAGTTTTAAGTGAGCGGAAACTGGTTTAAACCTGTAACGGAACAGAATTTCTGTGCACATAAACCAGTTTCAGAATGGCTAAAACCGGTTTAAGATCACCCTGGCTGAATGTAGTATCAGACTTTTAACTGACTGAGCTCAAGCTGGTTTAGGGGATGTCTGTCCCACCCCCTTCCTGGTTTAAGTTAAACCAGTCCCCAGCATGCTCTGCAGCCCTGGGCAGGGCTGTGCTCTCTACTTCAGCAGAGCAGGGCTGGCCCTGCCCCTCTGTTCCCTAGCTGGAGCAGGGGTGGGCAGGGATGTGGCCAAATGCCAGGCCCCATAAGGCAAAGGGGGCAGGAAAGAGGTTTATTCCCCCCTCCCTCCCTTGTCCCACCAGCACGGCTCTGCCAGCATTTCTCTGCTCGCTGCTCCAGTGGTGGGGGCATAGCCAACCCCAGCAGTAGCCTCAAGTGAACTGGCCAGGGAGGGGATTTACTTTCCCCCTCCCTGTCCTACCAGCATGGACCCGGCTCCCCCTTTGCTGCCACAGTGGCGGGGGCATGGGCAGGCACCAGCTGGCATAGGCTCCCTGAAGCAGAGGGGGTAGGGAGGGATTAGTCATCCTCCACCCTCTGCCCCAGGAGACTGCAGTAGGGTCTGCCAACCCCAGCCATTGCCGATTTTTTTGCTCCTTGGTTGGGGTGAGCAGTAGGATAAATTCCCTTCCTGCCCCCTTTGCCAAGCACTGCAGGGAGGGTGAAATAACCCTGCTCCGTGCCCCAGTGCCTGACTGGGGCCTGTCAGCTGGCCTCTGGCTTGACCCCCACCCTTGCTGCTGGAGTGGTGAGGGGGCAGGGACCGTGATGGGGGCAGCACCCCCTCTCATGGTGTCCTAGAGCGCAAGCCATTTCCTGGCAGGGGGCCATGCTGCAGGCAGGGGTGGGGTGGTCAGAGCTGCTGCAGACTGCGTGGGGCGAGTAGTGGAGGCCTGGGGGACTGTGGTGACCCCTCTGAGCCCCAGTGCTGCTGCTCACCCTGTGCAGTCTGCAGCAGCTCTGCTCACCCCCACAGCACAGCCCCCCTTCTGGGAAGAGGCTTGCACTCTGGGACACCATGAGAGGGGGTGCTGCCCCTGTTACAGTCCATGTCCCCCTGCCACTTCCGGGGCACGGTCAGAGGCCAGATGATATGGCCCCTCTAGGCAGTGGAGCATGGAAGTGGGGGGTAGTATTTCCCCTTCCCTTCAGTGTCTGGCAACAGGAATGGGGAGGGGGCTTATTTTGCCGCTCACCTGGCACAGGGAGAGAGTGGTGGTAGCAGCCATGGCTGGCAAACCCTGGCTGTGGTTCCCTGAGGGCAGAGAGGGCAATAAACCCCCTCCCTGCCCCCTCAGCCTCATGGGGCCACACCGGCTGGTGCCAGACCTCACCCCCACCCCTGTGGCTGTGGCAGCAAGGGGGGAGCACCAGGTGGACCCTGGCTCCATTCCATGTTGGTGAAACAGAGCAGGGAATTAAGACTGCCCCCCAACCCTAGCACCACTTCCCTGCAGCTGATGGTGCACTCTAGAGCCCCCTCAGCTCCTGGCCTGAGTGACTGGAGGCATGTACTCGCATTTTCTCAGTCTAGTGGGAATGTCTAGTCCCTTAATTGGTTCAATCTAGGCAGGTTAGGTCACCTGATTGAATCAATTCAGGTTCCAGCTTTTTGAATGTCTGTCCCTAGCCCTAGAGGGATAGTCATCCTATTTGCCATATTTCTAAACCATGATTCCCCAGTGTACGTCCTGCATCAGGAACTAGGACTGTGCCCTAGCTACAAGAAACTGGCAAAGTCAGTTCAGACATTGGGACCTGGCCTCTGGCTGCAAAGAATACCATCATGTTTTGCCTGAGGATACATTTCAAATTACCATCCTAATGCAACAGCTTGACACACACAAGCCCCCCATATCTGGTAAACAAAGATGATTTCTATCAAACTGAAATGTAAAATGGATAAGAGTATGAAAATGTACTGTGTTTATTTTGACAGTTGCGTAGCTTAACGTTTTGGTAGTTAGCAAAAAGATGTACCAAATCTTGTGTGAAGGTTATTTTAGTGGTAAATCTAAGTGCCTTAATTATATCAACCAGAGATGAATGTACTTTTTTCTTTAGAAAAAAACAAAACAAACGGAAAGTAGATAAAAATTGCTGACATAAATAAGAATTTTTCACTAAGTGATTTTAAATTGGCAATTTAATACATCACTTTGATTTATGGCAGCCCATCCTGCTCTGCCCCCCCACCATTTTTTTTCCCCCTCTGTCTCTTCCTTTATCCCTCCCTTTTTTTTTTTTTCACAAACGATCTGTACAATAGATTCTGCACAGCCTTTGAAAGGTATGTGCTGAGAATGAAACCTAAATTAATTCTTTTATACCCATCTTTACCTTAATTGTTCTAACAAATTAATTTTAATTTTTTCTGATGAGGCAGTTGTTGACAGTGGCATTTTCTGCAGAAAACCAGGATTTTGAAGCAAAGATATATTTGAAACTAGTAAGCATGGCACACTTGCGTAAGCTAACACGTGGGTTTGCTTGGCATATACCATATTTTCAGTAGTAGCCTTTTTAATAGCTCGGATACAGGTCATAAAACTTAATAACATTCTACTTTGCAAATACATTTTGTTTACAGTCAACACCATTTTGTCCATGGAGAGATATGATGCAAAACTGGAAAGATGCAGTAGTGAATCAGCCAGTTATTCCTGTGTGCATCTCCTAGCCATTTCCTCAGTGGATTTCTTTCCATGTATGCACATTGTAACTGTGCGAGTAATCATCTCTCCCACAACACACATTCTTTTTCTCTTGTTAGGCTGATCTTCTGATAAATGCCTGCCAACTCCATGGGCAGTAAAGAGGTGAGGCAGCCTAACCTCTTGAGCTCTCTAGTTAAAGCCTTTGGGCCTGTGACTGGTCTACATCACACTGTTTACTTAACAAGCAAATTTTCCTACTCGGCATTTTCCATTATATGTAAATAGTACTCTGAGGGAGACAGAATCATTAATTCCTTGACAGAAATAGCCATCTGCAATCAGATTTTGATGGACAGTTCTTTATATATTTTAAGTGGGTCAGTAGATTCATCTGCACTGAGGCAGATTAAGTCCTTTGTGTGTTGCATGCAAAAAGAGGGTAGAAAAAAAACAGTCATGATTACTTTTTATTTTCAGTAAACAGCCACCACAGCTTTTTATGAGAGTGCTGTGTGTTTCTTTGTAACCCCATGCTGAGTAAACGGAACGTGAAAATATGTAATCAGCTGGACTCGTCTTGGTTTTGGAGTCTCTTAGGTGCCACTGTCCACTGCAGGAGACAGTTGCCAGTGGGCATGTCTATATGTGTGCATTTACTGCACAGTAACTGAAATTACTGTGCAGTATGAGTACATGTCTACACGTGCATCCTGTACTATGCAGTAAATATGGCAGCTTGAACGTAAGTTTTGATACCTGCATCATGCAGGTATTAAATTTACTTCCAGTTAGTTACTGCACAGCAATCCACGTGTAGATGCCTTGCCATGCAGTAACAGTGTGTGTAGACTGACGTGGGACTAACTTCAGTCCCAAGTCAATCAATACATAACGTTAATGTGCTTTAATGACTGCACATTTAGATGCTGGCCTATTCCCACTACTGCACCGTAAATTTAAGCCAGTGTAAATGCACATGTAAACATGCCCAGTTACACTGTACTGCCTTGTGCAGGTAAGCCTCAGGTTCATTGTAGAAGCTGTGCTTCTGCTTGTATGTGGTAGCTGATCATTTTAGTGCCAGAACAGAGAGAAGGAGGCCTTCTCTATAGCAGGAAGAAGGATAACAGGAGAAGAGCACATGTAGATTTGGAGAATCTAGGATTATATGATGGAGATGCTATTATAGAAGGGGCCTGGCCTCAATGACCCCGAAGGCCCCATCCAGTTCTAGGTTTTCCATGAATGTGTCTGTATGATTTATGAATTAAAGAGAGAGAGCTGGTATTATGAGACACTTATATGCTGGAACACTGCTATGCAGATATGAAATCCTCCATTTACAAGGGCTGTGTTGCATCCCTTAGACTAAGGAGGGAGTTAACCATTAAATCTGAATGGTCACTGATTCAGGAGAAAATGCCTTGAGCTTTACCTGAGAGCTAGGAGAACCCAACTGTTCCAAACCTGTCTGCAAAGGGCTGGCAGATGGAGTAGTGGAAAACTACCAAAGATATGAAGGGGTGGGGGTGGGGATGGGGATGGGCAAGGAAACAGAAGTGACAATAAGGAAGGCGAAGATGGCATTAGTTTAAAATAATTGGGTAAGGGGTTTCCCACTGATACCAGGGGCACATCCACATGAGCAGGAGCATGTGTTTCCCTGAGGACAGGTAACAGCAGCATACCTTGTGCTGCTGCTAGTTGTCCCTGGAGAACGCTCGTGCTGTGTGCGCTTTGGCATGCAGCAGGCTATCCCAGGTGCGGTAGAGGAGACTGGGGCCACCAACTGCTGACCTGGCAGCCTTACATGGAGTCCTGGGGGCTTCCAGGAGCTGTAGCTGCAGCTGGCATGTGGCTCCAGTCAACCAGGCTCTGGTTTTGGGCAGCACGTGCTGCCCCACTTTTTTTTTTTTTGCATGGGTGTTTATTTGACCCCAGGATTCTGTTCAATATGGGGAGCTTGACAACCAGATCTGTGATATTTAAAATGCATTTATGAATACTATTTTTTTTTTTTAATTTTACTATCTCTAGTATGGAAAATAGCAACATAGCAGGGAGACTTAAGCAAAGGCAGAATAATTACCAATTTGTCTAGTTTCCTTTTGCTCCTAACACTGGATGCAATTGAAAGTATATGTTAGATTAGATTATTTTTTGCTCTGTCACTTTCTGTAACTGCATTAAAAAAAACAAAAACAAAAAACCCCAACCCTTGTAATGTATTATAACTTTGTTTGTTTAGACTCATGTTGTTTTTGTTTTCCGTAGGTTTTTTTCATTCAATAACTGGTACCTTTAGGCATCTTTAAATCATTTGGAATATGGCAGAAGCACTGTTGATTGATCTACTTGGCCTAGAAATGAATTCACAGGATAGCAGCTTTCAAAAATTACTGCATAACATGCTAGAAGCTGTTGAAAAACACTATTCAGTCAGTGCCCCATCTGTTTACATAATGTGCTGCCAAACTCAGCAAAGTGGAAGGAATGGTGTGCAAGATTGGTTACTTAAAGCAATGAGTAGCTCTCAAATTCTGAAGAGAAGTTTTGAGATTATCTGCACGGCAAATACAACCGCTGCTTTGTACACAATTAAACAAAAACTTGATGAAAAGGACCTAAGCATCATTAAAATAATTTTACCAGCACAAAGGAAAGCCTTAATGAGAGTATTTATAGACCACCTATTCACATCTGTCTATCATTTTGAATTTGAAGAATTATGGGTAGACTGTGAACCCAACCACCTTCAAGAAGCTGAAACACAGAATGAAGTGCAAATGCTCCCTGCGCAAGACACAGAACTCATCGTGAATGAGATTCAGACGTACCTAGAAAGGCTGCCAAGCCTGAAAGGGGAGCTCACCATTCTCAAATCTGCCTTGATCCCAGGTAAAGTGGGAAATGGAGTTTGTCTGTTTTTGGCTCTTGAACCCTACAAAGCTTATTGCTCTGTATAATCTCTCTTATTTATATGATTTGCAAATTGAGGCCTGAAGGAGTTTTCCACTCCCAAACTGACATTATATGCTGCTGTAATAATGTACAGAGACTATAAAAGGCAGTCAGGGGAGAGAGAAGTCCTGAGTATAGACACATCTTAGGACAGCAAAGTCTGCCTCTGCTCAGGCACTCTTGTAAGACCAGGAGTACCACTGGCTAGATTTAATTTAGGTGTCCTCTGGTGGCGTTCCAAATTATGCTGGAACAGCCCAGAATCGGGTCACTTTGCCAGGGATCCTGGCTTTCTCTGGTTTATAGGAAAAAAAAACCCTCCAACTTCCAGATTTAAAAAAGTAACTAAAAAATCCACACTTTTTCATGATCAAAATGAAACACTACTATATCTATCTAATCTAGCCTAGTGTTTTATTTGAATCATAAAAAAAATATGGATTTTTGGGTTACTTTTTTAAAGCTGGAAAATGGAGGGTTGTTTTTTTTTTTTTATCAGAGAAAACCCGGGATACCTGCTTATAGCTAATTTTGTCCTTCTTTCTTCATGAGTAAGTTCTGTGCGGTGACTTCAGGAGGAGAAGCATAGACGGTAACCCTATGTGTTTTTATTTTAGTGCTGTTAGCATTTCTTGCCTACTCTAGCTCAAGAGATAGGGTTGGTAGTGCCCATTTTTAAGAAAAGCCATTCCAGAGTGAGCCACAGGGTACAATGCCATGCGCACACAGGTACATTTAATCTAATTGTTCCCTTGCTAAAGCTTGAAGGCTTTAGCCAGTCAAAGGTGCATCTCTACTGTTGAAGGTGCTGGGTAGGAAGGAGCCTAAAGACTCCTAGCACGTTCCATTGGATGCTGACATTGATCCCTTGGATATTGTACTGTTGTAGTGGGAAGGTGAAAACATCCTTGTTCAGATTGAAATGACCTGCTTATTCATATTCTGACTACTTGAAATTACACTCCCCAAATAAAATAATTGAATTATTGAAAAAAAAATCTATTTGGCACGCTTGCTCAGATATTAAGACAACAATTATGGGCTGCTTCAACTGTTCTCAAAACATCCTTAGACATTCAGAAGATCTTTTCTACCATAAAAGTACTAGTTCAACATTTTGCTACCTCGCTTTCCTTTTATGGGCATGTCCAGACAAGCCTGCATGTGCCTCTTGCTGCGTCTCAAAACAATTTGAGATGTGGCAAGAGGCACACTGGGACTAAAAAACAGTTCCCTGCACTGCATATTTAGTGTGGGCTCAAAATTTGATACCTGGATATCTAGGTATCTAAAAAAACAAAATAAAAAAAAAAAACCCTGCAGAAAAAAAAGCAGCAGCTTCCAAATTGCTTTAAACTTGTAAATATCAATAAAACATTGTTCAACTGATCCCTCTCTTTATAGTGGTATGTCATTTTAATAGTGAAAGAACATTATTTTGAGTGTATTAATGAGAGAATTTGGGTTTCTTATTGGAGAATTTGCAGTTTTTACACGAGAAACACCTGATGTCTGCTGGTGAGACAAGTGGCGATACCTGGGCAGAGGAGCATATCCAGAGCCAGCATTTGGGACCCAGCTGGAGGGCAGACAAGGTGGCTGACCTCTTGGCCATTTGGGGCCAAAAGGATACACTTGGACAGTTCAAAGCAGGCTACCACAAGGAGCACATCTGGGTCATAGCTGACCAGATGGCAGAGCGGGGGCACCCCATCCAGGTCTAGGAGGAGTGCAGCCATGGAGCCGCAGGTCCAAGGGGATGGATGTTGTCACAGGTGGCATCAGGTCAGAGCTAGGCAGCAGCCCCCACTACCAGACTACTGCAATGAGTAGAGGGAGCAGGGGCCACTCCAGCTTAGGGCTGCTTCAGCAGTCCAGCTGGCACAAGGGGTACTGTCCCCAGATACCAACTGGCTGGGCCTCAGAACCTACTGAGGGCAAGTAGCCCTGAGCTGCTTGCCAGGGCATGCTTTTATCCTGCTGGTTTTTATACAGGCTCTAGCTCCCCCTGGCGGCAGATCCAGGAGGAGCTGGGCAGGGTTATTTTCCCCAAGTGGCACAACGTGCTCCACACCAAAGTGTATGTCTGGGGACATGCACTGAGGCAAAAATCCCTGGCTGAAATTTGTGCTGCTCTTATATTTCCGCTGCTGCAAGTGCATGTGCCTGGATGTGTCCTATGAGTTCATTTCCAAGGCAGAGGGAAGGATTTTTCTGCGTGAGTTGTGTGGAACTTTACATCAGAGCCAGGGGTCAGGGGATTAAGACCTCTTGTATCAGAGAAGAGACAGGACTTGCTTAAATGCAAAGAACGCACAGGCAAGAGAACTGTAGAGACTGTGTGGGGCTCACATGCGTGCAGTCACCACCTACATCCGGGCCTGGTGACACAATCGCAGAATGGATTTTCAGCACACTATTGGGTGTGGGTTTAGCCTGCACATGCCCATATAGCAGAGGCCTCCAGGAGGTTCAGCTCCTTAGCTTCAGATTTCAAAGAAATAGCAGACTTGTCTGGAGTTGTTTAGTGGAGGGAGGAGCCACTTGTTCAAAAATCCCTTGCCTCCATACCTTCTCAACCAGGTGCCATGGCACCCCAGATCCTTTTAAGGGCCCTGTGTGATGTTAGCACTGTAGATGTTTGCTCACCTTTGATTCACAAGATTAAATCCAGAGATGTTGAAGACTAATCCATAGGAATTTTGACATGCTGCAGTCTTTTCTGAGTTCTCTGCAACAGATGAATTGCTCTGTTTTTTCCATAGTTAAAAAAAGGAGTGGAAGCAAAGAGCTGGCACTTTCTGAGAGTGTTTTACCATATAGCTGGGTGGTATTTCACCTGCTGTAGCTTTCTTCCCAGAAGCCCTTTTAGAGAAGGAGGGGAACTATAAAACATAAAGCAGACTTGGTTTATAGTGATGTCCTTGGATTTTCCCTGCATGTTTGAAAGGGGTTGTGTTGGACTGAGTAAAGATCCTGCTGCCTTGCATCCCTCAGCCTGGAGCTCTATGGAGTTCCAAGGTTAATGTTCTGTAAAGAGCAACAATTGGAAGTCCAGGACCCATCTCCTCTCCCCTTCCCAAATGGAGTGCCAGGAAATGGGAAGAGCTCTGCTGTCTAGAGCAAACTGATTTTGGAGAGGACTAGGCTTGGCAACAGGAGAATAAAGCAGATCTCTACAACCATCTAAGCTGGGAAATAAGATCTAAGTAGTTGGGGGTAAGCTTATGGAGGGGATGCAGAAAAGGGAGTTCTGTCTGTTCAGTTAAAAGATACAATATGTGGATTTATGCTTGCTGTTCTCAGGCTGCAAAGCAGAATGGAGGTTGTTCTTTTCCCCCTGTTTCTGGGCTGTACTAGCTGATGCATGGCAAGCGGGAAGGGATATTTTTCCCCCTCCTGTTGCTACAGGGGTTGGGCTTTTTTTTTTTTTTTTTTGCGGGGGGGCTGTGTTTCGGAAAAGCATTGGATGATGGCTACAACCAAGGCTGGAGATTTTTGCCTGGGATGTGCTGGAACTCCAACCTGGAGCCCCAGTTAGAGGGTCTTGCCTCTCTGCTCAGGGTCAGACCAGTTGCCACACTTGACATCAGGAAGGAATTGTACCCTGCAGTCAGATTGCTGGGGCTCATGGCTAGGAGAGGAAGAATTCCTCTAGTGGGATTGTGGCCTTGTCGCCTCCTTCCTTGGATCCCTCAAGTGCATTTTAACAAGCTTTTGCAAAGGCAGGATACTGACAGCTCTTATCCCTCTGCTTTACCTGTGGCAGGTTAAGGTGTTTTTGGTATTTTTGGACAATATGGGTGGTTACACACATACAGGGAGCCTGCTCTGCACTGAAAATCCAACACGTCAGAGCAGGCATGATTAATAGGCTGCTGGAGCATGTAAATTGACACACTCTGGCAGCCTCGTGCATTGTGTGCATCAGTGGTGTAGTGCGCCTCTATACTGAGAAAATGGTGGTGGTGTACTTCGAACCAAAACATGTGTAACAGGCAGTTTAAGGGGCACTTACCTTCCAAGTGTCCCACGTTGGGCTCTGCATGAGCACTTGAGTGAGATTGTCCCAACAGGGATACCATATCTGTAGTACTATGATCCCCAGCAAGGGGATGCAAGAGTCAAAAAGCATTTGGGGAACCCAGGGGTATTCCAGCCCAGGGATCAGCTTGGCGGCTCCCCCTAAAACCGGATTCTCCCCCCGCTCCTCAGATGGAGAGAGAGAGAGACGTGCACTGTGCGAGAAGGCAGCATGGTCCCACCCCGTGGTTGCCTGCTGGACCCCTTGTGCGTGGGCCAGAGGCCAGCGGAGAGCCTGAAGGGTCGAGCGCAAGAGAGCAGACCCCTAGGATGAGCAAGTGAAGTTCATGAGTGAGCTGAACAAATTCCTTAGGGTGGGGACACGGCCCCTAGAGAGCAGGAAGGCGATTCCCCACTGGGTTTGGAAACTTGGGGGTTGGGAAAAGTTTGATTAAACCCCGGGTGTGAGTGGCTGGGGAAAGGACTGTGATGGGACTGAGCAGCTTGGCAGAAACAGACACCAGCAAGGGAAAGTCCCCAGGATACCAATGTGGGTTGAGACCCAGGGAGGTACGACTGGAGGGTAAGCCTCCATGTGCCTTATTGCCTTAAGGGAAAGTTGAGTCCAGAGGTGCTGCCTGGTCTGCCGGCAGCAGCCTGCTCTCCCTCTGTGTGTTTAACTGTTTAAATAGCTCTGCGGGCTCGGAGAGGCCATGCCCAGGCAGAGAAGAGTGCATGGAGGAGAATTTGTGTTTTGCAGGAGTTTGAATGGAAACAGTTTCTGCCAACTGTGAGACACCTGGGCCTGCATGGATATCCTGAGGCAGCAGGAGCCCACAAATGTGTGACTGCCCTTCCCTCTATTCGTTGAGCATAAGTCAGGGTGATTGGCTATTGGTTGTGAATAGTTAATTAGGGATGTAATATAATGAGTATCTAACATGGTGCCTAAGTTATCAGCTATGTATTCATTCATTTGACCATCCTTTTTGCGTGAATAGTTATCAACTGTTGTTCTTGTGTAGACTTAACCTCGTGTATTGTAAATAGAGTTCTGAACTTTTGATATTATTTAATGTTTGTTGGCATGTAGCAAATACCTCCTGTATATAATTACATTTTGTAAATATGAGTATGCATGGTCTTTCTATTGTAAAGGGAGCCTCTCCTCTCAGGGAGCCTCTGGCCACTCCTAGGTGAGCTGAGCAGGGGGTAGAGCTATCTGGCACCCCAGGTCTCGAACAATTGGACATGGCTGCAGATAGCACGACGCGCCAAGGATTACACGTTTGTGTTTTAGTTCAAAGCACACTGCTACCACTTTCTCAGCATGGGGGCACGCTGTGCCATTGATACGTGACATATATGGGTGCTTTTAATTAGCATGGCTTGCTAATTAAAAGCACCCAGTGTCACATTGGGAGCACATGCAAAAATGCCCAGTGCCTTTTAGTGGTACGAGATGATTGTGTAGCTTTAGGAACAGGTCAGACACGCATACATAATGGTTTAGATGGAGTTGATCCTGTCTCAGGAAGGAGGTTGGACTAGATGACCTCTGGAGATCCCTTCCCAGACTACTTTACTTTTCTGGGATTCTAATGCTATACGCCTAAGATGGCTCTTCCTCACTCCATGCTTTCCCCTGGCAAAGGCCACCACTTACCTTGCTTCATCTCACAGATGCCGTTTTCAAAACTCCTTATTAGCTGTGCTATAATTTGATTGGCCAATACTAGTGCAGAACACTATTTTTTTTCAGGATTGTCAGTTGTTTCAAACTTGCTTCTCTCTAGGTGACATCTTCCTTCATGGGTTCACCACACGGGCAGGTGGCATCTCCTATATACCAACACTTAGCTCCTTCAATCTGTTCAGCAATCCCATACGGAGAGATCCAAAAATTGTGGTCAGAGAAAACCTACGCAGGTTAGCCAACGCTGCAGGCTTTGACCCAAAGACATATCACAGTGTGAAGGTATGGTATTGGACAACCATGGGTTTCTGTATAAACTAACTGGATCTTCCTTTTGTGTACCAGTGAAAGTTTACATTTTTATATTGCGTGGTTTTTACTCTTGCCTTTCTCACCAAGAACTTGGAAGTTGGGGGCAAAATTAAGGCATTTACTGTTGGTAAGTGGGAGGACATGAATGGGGACGAATTTCTGTATACATGCCCTATTTTTCATATTCTTCCTCTACAACACTCTACTACTGACCCAGTTCTTATGACTGTTCATCCTAGGAAAATGTAATTGAAGTGTCTCTGTATGAAGAGGAAGGCCCAGTACCTTCTCCTAAGCATATTCTAATGTGGGGTGGCCAACTTGTGGCACACATGCCACCCAACCTCTGTGAGACACACAACAGATTGGGGAGGAGCAGGGAACAAAGTGGCAGAAAGATCAACAGTCAGGCAGGGAGCGCAGGACAAGAAGCATAAAATGGAGCAGCAGTTTGGGCAGGGGACAGGAAGTAGAGTGGCATGCAGGAAAGGTGTGGGGCTTAGCTTGTCACAAGCCTACCGGAAAAGTTGGCCCCCACTGTTCTAATATCTGTTTTCAATCTTAAAGTTTGTGCCTAAAAGTTAGTGAATAGTTTGTTAGGCTATGAATGAACATTACATTTGCACCTAGAAAAAAACTTTTATCCTAGGACTATATACACATCCATTATCCAGCCTCAAGTCTCTGAAGTATGATGAATAAAATCTTTTTTTTTTTTTTTTCTTCCTGGGATATCCTGTTGTACATGTGTATGACTACTGCAGTTTGGTCCAGGGACAAGCATGTCTGGCTGTGTGCTCACACTGGCCACCTACTGGTGAAGGAGCAGCATGGCATCCTGGAAAGGTGATGTGCACAGGACTGTGCTACACCAGTTTTAATCTGGGTCATATCCCAGGATAAGTAATCCTGGCTCAAGTAAAACATTTTATTTACAACTTTAAAGGCCCACAGTCAGTGATGCATAGATCTCTTTGTATAAAAATGCAGTTCTTTGGTGGTTTAATGTTATGTATCAAGTAGAAGATATGTTTTTAAAAAGGGATTCAAAGGCAAGGAAAGTAGGCGTTTGAAGGAAAAAAGGTCTTGCCCATAAGTGTTCATATGAAAGAAAATGTGAACAAGGTGGAAAAAGTGACCAAAAGAGCACTCGGCATAGTAAGAACTGTTCTTTTCTTTCCATGCCTTATACTGACAGGTCAACCATGCCAATGATGTTTGGATAATGGGAAAGACTGAACCTAAGAGTTACGATGGAATAACAACAAACCAGAGAGGTGTTACAATAGCAGCTCCAGGTGCTGACTGCATACCTGTGCTTTTTGCTGATCCTGTCAAAAAAGCCTGTGGTGCTGCACATTCAGGTAATAGTTTTACTCCAGAAATATGCACAAATAAAATACAGCTTGGAAACTATTGGATAGTGACCCCTTACCTAGTAAGTAGGGGGTGAGCAATTATTTTAGCTGGAGGGCTGCTTAATGAGATTTGGTGAGCTGTTGAGGGCTGCAAGGGTAGCCCCACCCCTTGACAAGTGCCCTGCCCCACTGGTCACCATCTTGGGACCAGATATCCACCAGAAGTCCCTCCCCTTGGCTTCCAAAGTATTCCTTTTGGGAGAGGGAGTTTGCAATCTTGGAACCAGGAAAAAACCAAATCGTATACTAAAAGTCAAACATCTACTATAATACACTTTTAAAAAATAAAATTAAAGTATTTTTTCATGTTTTCATAGAGTATGTATATAGAGGATTGCATAATAGCTCTAAAATAAAGTCTTAATCTTGTATATTAAGATTTAAGGGGGGTTGTGGGGGGGTGTGTGTGTGTGTGTGGTACATGTTGCAGAGTGTATGTATATGTGGGGGTTGGGGACCGCATCCCACCCCACCCCGGCACATAGTCCTCATTGCCAGGGGCGGCAGCAGCAGGGGGCAGGTCCTCAGGGTGCTCGTAGCCCAAGCAGGCACTGCTGCCTGGTGCTGTGCAGCTCCAGCCAGTTCTGGGAGCTCCCTGTGGCAGCAAGGAGCAGAGCCAGGCCAGCCTGCCTCTATCGTGTTGGGCTCCCCACAGCACACATGCAGCTCCTAGCACTCCTGTATGCCATTTGGGGGAGGGGAAGCCCTGCATAATGGAGCTGGCAGCCTTCCCCACTCCCTGCTGCCAGGTCCTGGGACTCCTCTGGAAGTGGAGGGAAACTGCCCTCCACTGGCAGCAGGGAGTGGGGCTAGGCCACCAGGTCCATTGTGCGGGGCTTCCCTCTGGTAGCATGTGGGTGCTGGAAGCTGCAATGCACTGTGAGAAGCCCAGTGCAATAGAGGGGGGCTGGCCTGGCTCTGCTCCTTGCCATCACATGGAGGTCCCAGAACTGGCTGGAGCTGCACAGCACTAGGTGGCAACACAGGCCTTAGGGCCCCCACCTGCTGCTGCTGGCAGGGGCTGTGTACCCGTACTCCCGCCTAGCTGCAGCTGCCCTGCTGCTTCCCAGCTCGCTGCCTAGAGCGAGCGTTGCAACAGGGACAAGAAGACGAGATGCTGGAGGCTGGGGAAGCAGAGCGGGTCCCCCAGTGGCAGCAGCAGCCCCTCCCAGGAACTGCATGCGCTGTCTGGGGCAGGCCCTTCCACATACAAGGGTGGGAGTGAGGCGCCTGGGCTGGGTGGGGTACAGTTAATTTGTGGGTACCCATGGGCTGGATGAAACTACCCGGCAGGCCACGTTTTGCCTGCACCTGGCTTAACTGGTGATTTTTAAAATGGGTGAGAGTGGACAACGTCAACTATGTGTTGGCACTTTTTTATTTCCAGGCATGCTAAACATCTTGGAGAAATCTTGTAATGCGTGCATCTAAGGCTGGATGAATACTTTTAAAAATTATGTTTTTTGGCCAAATTTAAAATAAAAAAAAAAATTTCTTTTGGTGGTGGTTTTTCTTTTTAAATGAGTCACATTCATTTGGGATCAAACAAGACAATTCATTTGACCTGAAACAAACTATTCTGGGATAGTTTTAAGCAAAACAAAACTGAGAAGCAGATTTGGTATGCTTTTCTTCAGTATGTCCCACTTCCTAGGAATGTGCCTTAACCATTCATTGGATCTGAGGATGTTGTAGGATGTGTGCCTCTGGCTGGGGGGTGGAGGGTGCCCTTGCACTCCCCCTTTGATTCTTGCTCCAGCCAAAGTTTAAAACCAACCAACTGCCTGGCAGTGGCAGCAGCATTTGTAGTTAGGCAGTGGTAAGGGAGTCGGTTGGCTCATTTATGATCTACCTGATCACTTCTAAACTTTTTTTTCAGCAGGTATTAATGATCCTGTCTTCCTAGTAATGGCCGTGATATTCCACTAATCAAGCTATCCTTTTCTTCTGCAGTTCTGTTTTCTGTTAGATGCTTCTGGTAATGAAGTACTGATTTCACAGCCCCGAATACTGTTTTAGATTAATTCTAAAGAAATTATGCTTTGGGTGGTTTGAATTTTCTTGCTTCGATATTAAACTGAATAATACAGCCCTAAGTCACTAGCATACTAGTGAAGCTTCTAGTTTATTTTTAACTGGAGAAAAACCTCTTGCTATATATGTGGTGATAGACCTCACCCTTTTACCCCCTTTTCAAAATTCTGTATCTGCCTGCCTCTCTTTCCTGTTGAATATTCATTTAACCCGTACAGTGTGTGTGCATGTTCCTATAACTTGGTGGTAGGAGCCAAGTTCTAGCTGCTCCAGTTTATTATTACTTTGTATAAAGTGGAAAAGCTTCAAAAAGAGACTTGCATTGGAATCCCTTATAGCAGAAGTTCCAGAATTGTAGACCACTCTAATTTTTTTGGTGAATACTTTATTCACCAAAAAGTTTGTCCTGCCCTATGCGTACCACATCTTGGGTATGTCAGATTCCACTGAAACGCATACATTTTTAACGTTGTTTTGTGGGGGGAGGGGGCAGGGGGTGGTTTTTCGTTTTTTAAAAGATTTCTGTTTGAATTGTCCAGGCTCCTTTATATGAATATCAAATGGTCATTTAGTTTTATGTAGTAGGTCTACACAGGGGAGGATATGTTCTAATGATCCAAACTCATAGAGGAGGGAATTCTTGAGTTTTAATCTCACCTTTCAGGGTGACTTCTTGCCTTGAACTGGTTATTGCACCTCTCTTCAATATCCATACTTTATGATACTGCTACATCATAAGAATGCTCCAAGCATGGTTTCTTTGTTAGCAATGAATTATTTTTGTTCCCTGTATTTCATGCCAACAAGGAAGCCATAAAATTGAAAAAATAAACTGACAAGACTTTTTTCCTTTCCCTCAGGATGGAGAGGTACTTTAATGGGAGTTGCTATGGCTACAGTAAGTGCTATGATTGAAGAATATGGATGCAATGTACGGGATATACTTGTGGTGCTAGGCCCATCAGTTGGGGCTTGTTGCTATACCCTTCCTCAGGAGTCAGCAAAGGAATTTCACCAAATTGATCCAAAGTGTGTAAGATCGTTTGACTCTCCAACTCCTTACGTTGATATTAGAAGAGCAACACGGTAAGTCTGATGCATTTTTTTTTTTTTCCATATGATGCAGCTTTATTGTTCTAAGTAGTTTTAGAGGCAAGGAGAAAAGACTCTGACCTAGAAGGAATTATGATGGCAGTTCCAGTTGAATATCTGATATAGGGAGGATCCTGGCAGATGGGGGTTGATGGTCCTCAGCACCTCACAGGAGTCTTTAGAACCTTACAGGCCCAAGCCCGGAATAACACTTGCTTACCTTCTTGCTATATTGCAGCTTTTATTTTGCTTTCATAAGTACAAGTACTTATGAATACTGTTTTGTATTGATATCTAAGATTAAATTTGTTTGGAATGAAAGTCTTAATTTTCATTTAGCCCAGACAAAGTATTGGCGCACTTTTTTTTTACCTTACAGTGATAATATAAATCAGAGGTACTAAACTTACTGGCTTCACAGGCATATGAAATGTACAGAATTATGGTTTGGATCAACCCCATAGCCCAGGCTCTGCATGCAGCATGTGGGGCTGGTCTGGGGTACATGCTGCACGAGGTGCAAGGGGCTAGTCTTTGGGCTCTATACAGACTGGCCCCGGATCCAGCATGCAGGGATGGACCGGTTCCACAGGCAGCGTCCACATGCAGCACGCAGGGCCAGTCTGCAACCTGTAGCCTGGGTAGTAGGGCATCCTGTGCCAGATCTGACCTGCAAGCTGGATCTTTGACACCCCAGCAATAAATGGCACTGTTGTTGCAGTGTCATTTAAGATCAGACCTTAAGGATTGCACCTGTTCAAAAATCCAAAATGATCATGTTATATTTTGTTTGTTTTCCTTCAAGAGCTCTTTTGGAGAGCGGAGGGATTCTGCCTCAGAACATACAGGACGATTCCATCGCTGACCAGAACCAAAACATCACTTTCTGTACAGCCTGCCACCCTGATAAGTTTTACTCTCATGTTCGTGATGGCAGTAACTTTGGGACCCAGATTGGTTTCATATCGATCAGAAACTGAGGCAGTATGGCTTATTCTTGGGTAGTAACTGGGCTGTATCTCTCAGGACATCTTGCTCTGCTGATGGTAGACCCTTGTCCTCCCCTCCATGTGATGTGATCTGAAGAAGGATGGATTTACCACAGCTCTTGGGATTCTGCTGCTTCCCTGCACTGTTCCTCTGGGAAGAGAGACCAGCCGCAGAATAAAATGGAGCCACAAGCTCTTATGAAAACCACGGACCAGTAAGGACAATGCCATTCAAAACTGTGTGTCCAAGGCTCACATGGGTCCTGTTGACCAACTCCCATTTCCATATGCTCAGGTATCCATTACAGTGTGGTAAACCTCTGAAGTGAGTTATTGCTACTCCAGACCAACTGCTTTCAGTGTAAGCTGCATCCTAGATTTCTGGCTTGAAAACAGCATGCTTCATAAAACTGTTTCTTTAACTCTTCTTCCTGGCCATGCTTTATGGAGCTAAGCTCACACACTGCAACCACTGATGCTTACACTGGGAAGCTATTTTCATGTCCCATGTTTTGTTCTTTCTACCCTCACTGATTCCAGAGGCCATCATATACTACTTGGTACCTAGTAATTGAACTACTATCAACAGGTTGGTAAAGAACAGTGCCAGCAGCGTAAATAATAAACCATTTTAAAAGACTGGGAATTGGAGAAGAGCAAGAAATTAGAATGGGATGTTTCTTTTCCTATCTGACATACTTCTGGAACCTTTCTATCCATTATGTGCTGTGTGGATTGAAATGCTTGGGCTCATTTTGTTTGCCAGAGATGTAACTAGAAATGCTCACTAATCAAAGTTTGTTTTGTTTTGTTTTTTTCTCATAAGTGTTTTTTTTGGTTTTTTAAGGTTAATATCCAAATCATGAGTTAAGCTCTCTGTGTGGACAAGGTTTACTTTCTGCTTTGCTGAATTTTCACTAGCATCATATCTAAGCGTGTATAACTAATCAGTGGCCCTGCAGATTTATTTTTTTTTTAATTTCCTTCCAGATGAACTTAATGGCTACTGTCAGGATTTTAGTTTCAGTGTGTTACAGAGACTAGCCAAAAATGGATCCCACTCGCCTATCTCAAATCTTCCTCAACTCACTTTTCCCGTTTAGGCCTTTTCAGCTTTGCACAAGCTTGAAAACTGGAGAAAGTTAAATGGCAGGCTGAGGAAAACTTCTTTTTGTGATACATTAGTCCAGCCTGGATTTGGATGGGTCTGTTTCATACCACACCACCAAACTACTCTTGGCAGCAGTATTAGAGGTAAATAGCATCTGCAGCCAGCACATGTAGACTATCGTCCAGATGTCTGAACTGGGCAGGCTGTGGGGATATTGAGTTAGACACAGCTCTATAATGTTTAGAAACTCTGTTTTAGGTGATGTCGCCTTTCCTTTCTTGGTACTTCACACACTTCCTACCTAATAGCCGGCGTTTTTCATAGCAGCTTGAACATGGCTAGACCCTTATGTCCTCTGCTTTTGTTTAAATCTAAGACACCATACAGAAAAATAAGCCTGTTTTTAACATTCTAGTCTATCCTGCCCCTGAAACTAAATTCACTCCCAGCTTTTGCTCCTGTGGAAAATTGTCTCTGGATGGTATGGTTTACAGTACATATTAAAGATCACTGTGTACAAACAACACAGTCTCTCCCAGTGCTTCAGGTATTCATTTGCTGGGACTGTTACAAAGCTGACTGTAGCTTGCAGGGTCCTCTGGCTTAAGTCTTGGGAGAGATGTCTGTGGAAAATTTTATTTTCCATTTTTTCTAACCCAGTGGTTTTCAACCTTTTTTGTACCAGGACCCATCTTGTAAACATTGGCCAGTCTCGGGGTGGGGTGGGGTGGGAGGCGGTATGTTGGATACAGGGAGCCCCAAGCAGCCTCCTTGTGGGCTGGAAGTCTGCCAGCCTGCAAAGGAAAGCCATGGTTTCCATGTCTTTCTCCTTTTAAAAATGGATTTTCCTTTAAGTTTGATCCATTTTGTTTAAGTTTGTTCGTGACCCTTTCGTATTCTTGTGACAAACTTTTGGGTTGTTACCCATGGGTTGAGAAACGCACTGTTTTAACTAAATAGGACTTGCAAATTCCAAGGTAAAGATTTTGCCCACTAGGGGTCAGGGCTCACTCAGCACTTCTTTAGCCAGGATATACTTTCTTGAAGTAGATTGTAGAGCTGCAGCTTGATCCTCCAAACACTGCTTTTACAAAACCCTGGGTGCATCTACATGAGACATTTGCTGTACAGTAAACATCATGCATCTACATATGTGCCCCTATTAGGCTGGAGTAAACTAACTCTGCAGCAGTTACACATATAGATGCTGCCCTGGTGGGCTGTAGCACAAGGGTGCCCCACACTGAAGCACCCTCATGCCACAGCCAGCCCTTCTGCAGCACATCTGAGTGGGGGTCAGCAGCTCCAGGCTGGCAGGGCCCCCTGCTAGCTGAGGCTACTTCAACTTGGCTCAATGTGCTGTGATCTCAGCGTAAACAGCACATGCCCAGGAGGAGTAAACTCCAGAACAATTATGTTCCGGAGTTTATTGTTTTGCATTAATTGCATGTGTAGACAGGCCCCCTGTAAAGCAGATACCTCCCTCTGCTAATGCAGTCTTTTTGCCAAGTTTCTCTGGAAGCCATTCTTGAAAAATAATGCATTCCAGTTTTGGCAGGCTGCTATATGTAACCCAGGTAGTACTCTGAGACATGCCCCCTCTCCAATTGAAGGTATCGGAGCATGTGTAAGAGTGCTGTGGGAGGGGTGGCAGCCCTCCTTTCCCTATAGAGCAGAGACAGGACACCAGTGGGAACTTAAACATATACCCTTTAATGAGGGGACAGGGTTTAATATATGAGATAGATACCAGGGGTTGCAGTGTACTCTAGTACCCGGGGGGGGACAGAAAAAACTCAACAATGGTTAGGCCTACCCATTCAATTGACAAGAGATAAGCTGACAAAATATAAGATGCAAGTTAACAACATGTATGAGATGGCTAACAAAATATGAGATGCCGGTTAACCAAGTGTGGGATACAGGTTAACAAAAAAATAGTAAAAGCGGATTAACAAAATATGGGATGCAAACACCCCCACCCCCAAAAGAGGCAGGAAAAAATAGAACCTACCTCCCCATTGGGGGTTCCCTTTTCCTAACAATTCAACCCTGAGTTACCTTGACTGAGAGTCAAACCTTGAACCTATCTCCCAGGTGTGGATTCCCTCTTCAGTCAACTCAACCCTCAGTTGCTAGGTCTCCTGTGTGGTAGGTGAGGAGTTCACTACTAAGCTGTCCAAGCCTGAGCAGCTGGAGGCAGCTTGGGCTTTCGTTTTTCAGGGAGCCTCCCTGCAACTGCTGCATGCCATGGTACCCAGCCTCCTGCCAGGGGGAATCAGGTGCCCAAGGGACAGACGGAGACTCAGGGTGGGTTTTGGTCCCTGCCCAGGACCTCCGCATGCCGGCTGTGTGCCGAGGCCAGCCCTTCTGCCAGGGAATCACAGGGCCCGAGCCACCACCCCCTGTGGCTCGGGGCTTGGGTCCACCGCACACCATTTCATGTGCCGAACTCCCAGCTTCCTGGCTGGGGTCAGGAGCCGAGCCACTGCCTGCAGCTCAGAAGCTTCGGTCTGTGCCGCAGGATGGATTGATTTAAATCAAGGTAATTTAAATAATTGATTTAAATCTTCAAGAGAGCCCTGATTTAAATAACTGATTTAAATCAAGTTTTCCACTGATTTTACAACATCTGTCCTTAAACTTTTTTTTTTTTTTAATTTTCATATTTTATTAACTCTAACAGACAAGTCATCATGACACTAAACATATGCTGTCCTTAAAACTTCTACAACTAGATCTCATCTTCCCCACTCCCACTGTCATTTTTATTCATAGACTGAAACAGAAATATGAATTTTCCTTTTTCAACTCCCAGTCGATTTCTTAGCTTTGAGTGAATAATACCAAACGACAAAATATTCTCTCTGTGCCTGCAGAGGAAGCTACTGCTGTGAAAAGTTGGTTTAGCAACTGAAGGAACTCTGTTTCAAGGTGCCTGGCTAATGCTTTCCACCAATTCAGGGGAGTGACTTTGTTCAAAGCATCATCAGTAAACATGTACTGTTTAAATGGTTCCCCTCCAGCCCTGCAATTTATTATGACTGGCATAACAGGTGATTTTTTTATTTTTTTTTTTTTTATTTTTTTTAGATGCCCATGCCATGGCAGCAGCAGCATTTTCAGAAGTTAGGCATCTACCTTTATATCTGGGGTTGAGAATGTTTGCAAGAAAATGAGGTGGAGTTAGTGCTTGATCCATTTGCTTTTTATTGCCTGCAGTTTAACTTTCTGGTTAGAAAAATGGTCATTACAGAAGGATTTTTTGCGACTTCAGTCTTTTATTCCTGGAGAAGTCCTTAACTCTTTGGCTAAAAGGTGCATTAAATGGGCACTGTAGCCATATGTTATTGTGAGTCTTCTTCAGGACTGGTGTCCCTACCTGGCCCCTGTGTATACTACTGAATAATACTGGGTCTGGCCTTGATTGGTGGGGAACAGGAAATCCGTCTCCACCAGTCATTTTTGAACTTTACAAAACCTTGTAGCAGACTGGCCATTACTTTTTTTTCTTCTTCATTGTTTCTGCTAATAGCCATTGCTTAAGTTGTAGATTCTTAGGGAAAGGCATTAGCATCTCACTATATGTTCATATAGATCCAGAACAGTAAGTGCTAGCACAGTAAAAGAAGCAAATAATAATTTATTTAGAGGACCAGCTAGGTCAGCATCCCACTGGGCTAAGTCCTCTTAATGCATAATATACGTAATAAAATAGGCTTTCCTTCTAAGGGATTCTACATTAAGACAAACTACAGAAAGTGCAGGAAGGGATAGATAACCATAATACAAGCGTGGTGGTGATTTTTTTTAAAAATTATTTTTGGTTTTGTTTTATTTTTGTCCTCACAGCAATGAGTAAAATTTCCAGGCATACAGATCTCTTTGCTGTTTTGCTAGTGGAGACCAATAAGCAGATCAGTAACAGCAATCGTGGCTCTCCAGCTCTATGGGAGCTTCCAGCATGTATCATAAATTGTTCTGCTATGCCTGCTTAATGGTGCTTTATTCCCCCTCCAAGCCTCACTTGTGAATTTATTACCTCTCTTTTTTTTCTAGACGGTTATTAAATATTATTATTAATTATTACTGTGAATGCCCTGAGCAAAGCACAAGTGTATTATCACACTGCATGCTGTTTTCAGTAAATATTCTGCATAATTAACATTCACTGCAGTTGTAATTCTGTACAGAACTTTTAATTTGAATTTTATGTGTTCAAATTAATTGAACAAGCCTTGAGAAACATATTAACAAATATTCTATTAGAACACAACAAGTCCAGTATTGGGTGATCACCTTCCTCAGCTGCCTGAAGGTTTGTATATTTTCAAATACACAGAGCTCTCTGGCTTGGCTCAAACAGACACACGTCTTCCCTGGATTGGTTAGAGTGGAACACATGCAGACTGGAAGATTACACATGTACCCCAAAATGGCAACCATTAAATGCCAAGAAGACCTCACCAGTCACAGCTAGCAATATAATTAGCCAAAGGTATTTCACCTGTCATTGCTGCTTCTCCTTTTTTTTTTTTTTTTATCTTGCTGTCCTTTTTCCATCATGAAAGGCCATGTTAGGCTCTCATATATTGCATGACTGTGGCTCATGTGGCTGTTCTGTGCTGGAGATTAGGGAGACGGTACTGTGCGGGCTGGGAGCGACCCGGGCCCTTTTCCGTGCTGCATGCGGGCTGTGGC